AATTCTAGGGGTGAATGTGGGGGTGAGGGTGAGGATGAGTGTGAATAAGCAACTTTACATGTATGTAAAGTTCAGAATTCTAGAATTCTTAATTTTACAGATAATAGCAATGTATGAACTTTACATTTTGTAATTGTAATCGCGCAGCCGTCCCTCGGGAAATTCGAGATTTTTGGGTATTTTCTCCTTTCCGGTGCACTGCGACATCTCCATTTATACGGCATTAATTCTGCGCCGAATGACATATAATTCAATGGGTTTTAAAAGAAAAGTTTTCAGGTTGAACTCATAGATACAAACACAGAACGGCATAGATACGAAGACTTTTTTCTTTGTTGACTTCATAGATTGTTTTGTAATAATCTTTCCTAGTCTAACTCCTCTAATCGTTTTTATGATCACGTTGAGTGGATAACCGTTAGCTGTGAATATTTTCTCATAGTAATCTAATTGCTGCTTCAACAGAGCTTCTGATGAACAAATACGCTTGGCTTTAATACAAAGAGATTTAATTAAATTAATTTTGTAAGTTCTAGGCTCATTGCTGGTCCATTCCAGATAGAGGCCTGTATCAGTTGGTTTACGATAGACATAAGTAATCAACTCTGAATCGGTTCGCTCTACCATGACATCAAGAAAAGGAAGTTTGTTTTTATCTTGCACTTCAATTGTGAATTTTATCGAGGGCTGTAATTTATTCATAAATTTTTTAAATGAATAGAGGTCTTTCTGAGTTCCGTACATGATCATAAAAATATCGTCCACGTAACGGTAATACAGATCAGGCTTTGTACCACGATATTCAATAATTTTCTCTTCTAAATTACTCATAAACAAATGTGCAAGTATGGGTGCCAAAGGACTACCCATACTAACACCGTTCTGCTGGTCGTAATTTTCATTATTAAATTTAACATTAGTTCTTTTAGTACAGTAGTAGAACAACTCTTTCAAATTCGTATCATCAATAGGTAGAAGAGGATGATATTTTCTGATCTTTTCAATAGCAATAGGAATAGCTTTCTCTAAGGGCACATTGGTAAACAATGATGAGACGTCCCGAGAGTAGAGTAAACCTGGCATTTGTTTATTGTTTTGAATTTTATCCACGAAGTCAAATGTATCTTTCACATAAGACGGTGCATCTTTGAGAGCTGATGCTAAGAGATTGGCTAAGTATTTTGCTGTGTTATAATTATAAGAGTCATAACTTGATATAATAGGTCCTAAAGACAGATTATTCTTGTGAACCTTTACAAGAAAATAAGCTTCTGGAGTTCTACTGCCTGTTCTTTCTCTCATAATCTTATAATCATCCTCAGTAATCAGTTTGTTTCTCTTTAATTTCAGTAGAAAATTAATAAATTCATGCTCTCGTCTGATTGTCAAATTAGATTTCAATTTTTTAAAAGCTCTTTTGTCATTCAATAATTCTTGAGCTTTTGATAGATAATCATCTTTGTTTAACACCACGGTCGCGTTCCCTTTATCCACTTTCGATATCACTAAATTAGAATCTTCAGATAAAGTAGTAATAGCTTCAGTTTCTTCTTTGGAAAGATTGCTAATCTCATGTTTCAATATTTTCTCAGTGTTCAAACCAAAGTCATTCAAGAGTTCTTTGATTTTAGTAGCTGTATCAGGACCTTTCAATAAACCATAATCTTCAAGACTATTGTACATATACTCTAAATTACATTCATATTCAGTACGTTCAATTTCTTAACTGTAACAGCGTATTTTCAGCCTTTACTTAGCAAAGATTTTTCGGCAGGAGGTAAAACACGATACGAAAAGTTGTAGACTAACTTATTGTTAAATCCATCTGATTTCTCTGGTATTTTCAAAGATAAAAGTTTTTCCTCATGTCTTTCTTTAATAACATTTCTTTCTTTATCAATCAATCGAGTGAGGTGTAATGCAGTTCTAGTCCATAGAAATATATTAATTTGATTTCTCAATTGGGATTCAGAGTCATTTACAACTACAGTTGTTTTCTTAAGCTGTTTCTGTTGTTCTTTATAATGATCGAATAACATTTTTCTCATATAGTCTTTATACTTGGGACTTTTACCAAATTCTCTACTATAAGACTTAAATCGAATGAATTTTGGATAAACATTATATAAGTTAATCAGTTTATTATATAAGTTAATCAGTTTAGTTTATATTTAATCGTCATTATTAAGTATATTTACCGTATCCACAAAAATCAAAATGATTCAGTTATTACCCTATAAAAGAAGATTGATATGGCAGAGCCTGCTAACAAGCCTGCACATTCAGTTCCAGCAGGCAAAATTCTCACGAGCAGACCTGTGCAGGTCTGCAGGAAACATCGTGGCAGACCCGCAGCAGTTACTGTCACATACCTATGTTGCATTCTCTGCCACGAGTCGAATGATGTGTATTTCGAAACTTTTAGCTGATTTTCATTTTTTGTCGAATTTTCGCATTGAAAAATGATCGTGATTTTCACCAAAAAATGAAGGTCAGCTAAAAGTTTCGAAATACACATCAGTAGACTCAATTTTTGATCCTGATTCCGAATATGATGTTTTTATTGCTTAAAACTTGAGTTCTAATATAGAAATTGAGAATTACGGACACAATTGAGAATTTTTCGCATCTTATTCAGAAAAAATGAATTTTCTCAGCAATGGAAAGGAATTTTAAAAAAGCCCTCCGTACTTTTAAAGCTTATCACTTGGGCTGTCTAACGGTATGTGAATGGGGGACCTATGCCTTAACCCAAAAAACTTGATAGGTGTGCAAGGTGAGGGTATCGACCGCTGAGCTTAGCCAATTCTGAGCTCAGCCAAAATTTCAGCTTTGACCAAACGTCATTGAAAGAGACCTCTCTAGAATCAGTTTTCAACGTAGAATTTGAAAATATTAATGAGAATAAGTAAAAGCGTAAAGCGAAAAAATTGTGAACCATTTTCTGAAAAAGAACAGTTTTTAGGTTTTTCGACCTCGTCTCAGTATTTCGCATTTTTCTCTATCAAGAGTTCACTTTTTCGAACTAAAAAGGTGATATTCGTGATCAGCTCGACCTGGCGATTCAGAATGTGTATAATAAAGTCAAAAAGAAATTTCACTCTGAGTTTGACCTACGAGCATCTTACGTATATTAGACAGAAAGTAACAACCACCAAATTTAGTTTATCAGTGGGTATCATTTATTGCGAGTCTGTTTCTAGAGTAGAGGTGGAAGAAAACTTCGATGGCAGTGTCGCTAACATTAATAATTCACGAATTTTTTCTTTTAAATCTGTTGGTTCGTTTGAAATTAAGGGCAATGGTTTGTTATTGATACTATCGAACTGTGTTAGTTCATTTGAATTGTTGTTTTGCAAACTTTGTATTATCGATTTGTATAATTTTTTCTTTCCATTTGTTTCAATAAATCGTTCCATTTGTGTTTTATGATTGATTTTCGATTGTTGATGATAATATTCTAGAACAGAATGTTTTTCACGCGGTAAACTACAAAATTCAGGAATTTTGTTGAGTAAATATTCGACTAATGTTCGACAATTGTTACATACGGCATTGTAATGTGGATTTAATTCTATATAATGTTTAGCATTATTAATTAAATCATCTAATTTATATGATGTTAAACCAAGAAATTCTATTTGAACAATTGAGGATAGAAAGCCGTCAACTTCTTTAGTACTTAATATCATCTTTTTAACGCCACGATACTCAATTTCAATTACTGTTAATTGAGTATCATTTAGAGGCCACACCATAAGAAATGCATGTGATGCACGACCATCACCCCAGATGAATTTTTCAATTTTATACCCTGTTGGACCAATATGATCTTCTAATGGTCGAACACACAAAAAAACCGCCATCGATTCGTCTGTCATTTTGAAGTATCATAGTATTTTGAATCCGGCCAAAGAGGGAGATAAAAGTATTTATAGTTTCATGTTACATATGAGTCACATTCGAATGGCGTCGTTTGTTGCTTACCTAACACATACTGTTTCTCATTTTGTCATGCTTGACAGAACAAATACGTGAAAGAACAGAAACGATAAGAAATACACGCATTTTAATTTTTGTTACGGCAAACATTCCTTAAAAAAGTAATACAAAGCGAAAGGAAATGTATCGTTCGATCATCGTCTAATGTGAAAAATTACTCCACATGCGTTTTCAAAAACATCCTCGACTCAGTTTTCATGATTGTCTGATAACACATATGCCTAACATTTCCACTACCTATGCCGTTAGTCCATAGACGAATACTGGAATGTCACATAACAGCGCTCAGTGAAAATTTACAAGCGATCTCATTATAGTTAACAAGATGACGCTCGTGATTGATATATCAATATTTGTGAAAGGAAATCAAACCGATAATCCTGTGTTAAGGAGAGGTCCACACTCAGTACATGTACCTTAAACCTTTGTCAGTTTATAGAGGACACCTGATTACATATATCCGTAAGTTCATTCAATGAACTGATAGCTGTTCAGAGTTATTAATTAATTAAGTTTAAATTTTAAATTTAAAGTCCTAGTCCTTATTTTAAAAAACTTAGCTCAGTTAAAAATAAGCGTTAAAAAGTCATTTTCATGCATTGCTTGATAGCCCATGGCCTGTTGTTATGGTTTAATGAAAAAAGTTTCAGAGAAACGTTTTTTTCAGACAATAATTTATAATTAGTCATGCTAATAAACACTAGTTAATATCACACTGGTGTAGGGATACACCAATACCAATCATTATTCAACATATTACACAATATTATTGGTTATCCAATAATACTGGTGTAACGGCTCATCGCCATTACATTGTTCTCCATGCTTAATCTTATTGCAGTTTATAGAAATTCTTAAAACTTCGAAGTTTCGCGGGTTTTAGTAAGAGAGATAATAGAACGAAGAAATTATGTATTAAATTACTAAATAATACAAGTCGTTTCCGGGGAACAAAAACGAAAAACAAGTCATAATTGAAAGTAAATTTCGATTCTTTTATGATTTTTGTCAATTTTCAACTTCAAATTCAGATCTCTCCTTGTTAACTTTTGACTTCAAGTTAACATTTCTCCCTCGTTCTTCTCACTTTTCAAATTCAAATTCACATCTCTTCTCTTCTTCCCCTCTCACATTCAGAGAAGGAGGAGCTCAATTCTACATTACATCTTCTTATCTCATTCGAGTTAAATAATTTCTCTTATTTACAAAATATAATTTAGTATTTTTGTTCTAACTGTGCTTCTTATACCG